ATAAAAGGTATCTAGCAATTGCGAGCCTGACATCACCTGGCTGCGATTAACGTGCCCAAATGCGACTTGTCGCACCAACATGTATATAAGTTAGATAAACTTTGTCAGCCTGTCAAAGCTTTTCTCTTTATATTCTTTTTCTTTACTAAGAGCAAAAGAAAATGATGATCTTATATTCAATACAAAACCACTGATAATACCAAGAAAACAAAACGAAAAATTAACTAACTAAAAAAAAACAAATAGAATAAAGGGGGAATTTTAAAGGACAAATAAAAAGGGTACAATGAAATATAAAAAAAGAAAATCAAAGAGAAAAGCCCGAAAGCCAACAAAGAAGAAACTATCTTTATCAAGAAGTAGTTCAAGTGTAATGGAAAAAAAAAAAAAAAATACACTATTATAACCCATACCAGGTTTAAGAAAAAATTTTATAACAACTGCAACCTTAGTATATCTCGACTACAAAATCTAACAACTTATTGTCCGACTACCGACCACTTCCAGACGCTACTAGAAACCCAATCCCAGTCACGTGTAGATCCCGTATCTATAGACTACGTTGCGTTATATATCCACCGATAAACAAGACACGTAGTTGCATTCCTGGGTACTTCCAGATTTGGGAGGTAAACAATGCTGATCTTTTGGAGAGGGTAAGCCAAATCACCCACTTTTTGTCGAAAATTTTGGAGAAAAACCGGCCGAGCGCAAAACACCTAGAACAAGACCACTTGCACCCAAGGAAAGTAGTTACATCCATGAAAAGACTCAAAAACTTCTAAACCTTCTTCTAGAAAAGGGGTGGGGCACCTATACTCCTTTTTTGGTAAGTAATAAACTCTGGGCTTGTTGGCAAGTAGCATATGAGAACTACTTTTAAACGACAAGTGCCATACGTGCAGTGAGTGATAAACTCTAAAGAAGTTAGTAGGTAGTGTATAAGAACTACCTCTAAATAACAACTGCCGACTTATAGCGACTAGTATGCCTTCCGTGTTTTACTAAAAGCTATTGTGTTTTTACAAAAAATATGTTTGGATTTTTGGTACAGATGATCATCAGAAAGAGTTAACAATATCAATTTTCATTTTGATAAAAATTGTTTTAATTTATATATTATACCAGTTTGTTTATTAATATAGAGTAGTATCACAGTGTTATAGTGCTATAGTAATATTTCCTTTTTTAAATTATCAATTTTTATTTTTTTATATTATTTTTTTTTTATATTTTTTTTTATTTTTTTAAATTATCGGGTTTTTTTATTTTATTATATTGCTATATTTAGTGTTGTTGACTGGAAGCTGGAACCCTACTGGACATCCAGATTTTCCAGTATTCCAGTGGTTCTAGTGACAATTTTTCACTAGAACGATTATCTCACTGGAACTGATGTATATTAGCCAATAAGAATTCGAATAAGAATCAAGATTATATATATGATATTGGCCAATTAGAAATCAAGAAAAATGGCTATTGATATCGATATAGTACATTAGTAATAAAATAATTGTTTGTTAATCTATAAAGCAAGTATTTTTTTTATAATGTGGTCGAAGTTTAGCACATTATTTATTTCAGTATTTATAAAATCGATCTAGAAACTAATAAAGTACACCACTAGCACCCTGGGTTAAAATCAAAAAAAAAAACATCTAATCTACATTCATATAGCTTGGTTTTTTGAATAATGGACTAAATAGATTTTTTAACTCCCATTTGGCTTTAGGATCTACCACAGGATGTATATAGTTACTTAATAAATCGTTATTCAAGTTACAACTAATATTTTCATGTTCCACCTCTTCTTCTTCTAATCTTGCAGTTTCCTTGTCCTCCAACATTTGTTCTCAATTATCCAACCAATTTTCCTAACTATTAGAGGTAATATCTGAATCACTCTGTTCATCTTTGCCTAGTTCAGCTGGATCATTTAATTCACTTAGTTCAATTCGTTCTTGTGAATGGGTTGATCTATTTACCTGATTAGATGGGGTATTGTAAGATTTATTTTGTTTCTTTCGTTAAGAAAAGTTAATTGAGGCACGAATTTGGCTCATAGCCAATATTTTATCATTCTGTTATTTAAAAAAATTATTATTTTTATTATTATTATTATTAATTTTTTTTTTTTTTTTTTTTTTACACCTGCCTTGAGCGACATCTCCGATTGGTGTGAAGAAATCCCATTGAGCTTCACAATCGTTCGACAGATGCTGCATTAACACAAATCCTAAACAATCTCACAGCCAAGGGACCTAATTCTTTAGTTAATAGGAAGACGAATCCCCAAAATTTTAACATATTCCCTTTAAACTGTTCATATGTTGTATGGTCAAATGGATATCTATATTTTCTATATTTTTCAAACTCGAGTAGAATGCAAGTTGGTTAATGTCCAAACCATGCTTTATAATAATATGAAATAAACTTAGCAAGATAAATTTTCAGTATTAGTATTGAACCATGTATTACGAATATTTGGATTTAAAAGAAAGGCCAACATTAACAATGGCTGTTCCCATTGTTTCCACCTCTGCTCTAACCGTAAGATCATATGTTGTGACAAATCATCATCATTATTTTCTTTCCACATTTTTAAGATTCCACTGAATGCCTGTAATACTTCATGAAGACGGGTAGTATCTGACTGTAGCTTATTAAGAGCCTCGCAATAAGGAATAAGCAATGAATGTAATAGTTTTATTGATTTCCAGAAACTATCACTAAGCAGAATTGATGAGATATTACATGGTAGATGAAGTTCATTTGAATAGGTTAACGTTTGATTTAATTCATCATCAGAATTATAAGCCAAAGTTTCTAAAGGTAACTTATGTGTAGTAGCTAAATTCTTTAAAAAAATTATTTGTATTAACAAATTATATTAGGGAAGTTAGTTATTTATTAACTTGACTGTTTATAAGACTAAAGGTTGAGGGCTTTAATTAATTTTTATTTATTTTACTGAAGTATTTCTATATATCATGATTAATTTTATAAAGGGCATATCCATTAGATATATTCTTGATAAAATATACCTACTCTTAGAGCTTGACGAGATTTTATTAAGCTTATAAAACAATAGGTGTAAGAATTCTAACGAGTATCTGCTAGACAAATCAAGGTGATATATTTTTTATAAATTTGCATTTGCATATCTCGAAGTTTCCCGAGAAAATAAGAATGTATAGCATTATTAAAATATGCAACGATTGTTAGAGCCTGTTTTGATGCAGTTTTGAATTCATCAGATTCTTTAAAAATCTCTCCTACTGCTAGGTTACATTGGTGGGCGAAGCAAGTAAGAAAAACGATTCCTGAATATTTTAATCGTAATTGTCGCCTATTTAAAATTAATTTGTTTTTTTTATTTATTAATTTTTTATTTTAATTTATTTTATTTATTTATGATTATTTATTTATTAATGAAATATATGAGCTCTTATTAATAATACTTACCTAGCACTAGCATATGCCAAAGTACTATCAGAAACAATAGCAGATAATTTAGCACCTATTTTAGTAGCTTCACTAATCATAGACTCGATTTTAGGAATAACCTCTATCATTCATTCTCGCTCTGAACTTATATCGACTGTTTCCCAAATTAAAGATTCACAGTTGACAAGATAAATAATGATTCAAATATATGTTGCTTCAAAACATTTTTCTACCCATCAAAAGCCAAAGTTACTTCAATATTATTATCATTCAATTTTTGTTCACAAGACAGTTCTAAATTTTTTTTTTCAGCTTTGAGGATGCGATTCAATAAGGAATATTGACTAGGAAGGATAAGGTTTGGATTTAAAAACTCATAGAACTCTAAGGTAGCTGGGTCTGATGTCTATCGAAAAGACCATCTATTTGATATTGTTATACGGAGTAGTAGGCGTTCAAATGTTGGTTTTTCCTTTGCTGTGATAGTTCGAACTGCAAAGTTGGTTATAGAACCTGATAGCTTTTTTGCCTTGTTTTTTCTAATAGCTTTGGCAGGAGGTGAAGTATTATTGCTAGTTGTTACATCACTCATACTATCATCATTTAATAAATTATATATATACGTCTTTTAAAAAAGAGAAAAAATATTTATATTAACAATTATGCCTTAATTTTTAAATACCAGATATATTAGTATTTTGGCTTCTTTTTGAAACTTGAGAAGTATTTTCTTCTTCATTATCCGTCTTGTTACAATATGCATCCACTGCCTTTTAAAATCCCAGCTTAGCAAGAAAGTGTGTACATCTTTTTAAATAATTTTGAATGGTATTTTTTTTATTTGTAAGTGAAAATTTTAAAGCTTCATTCTGACCAAGCGCATTATCACAAGCTTTGCATACACTATATGTATTATGTTTATTTGTAGGTTTCGTGCCAAGCACAATAATATCATTTGTGAATCTATGTTTTTCAGGACCTCCTGTGTGTTGCCGTGATATTTATCAAATGATATTTTTAATAATGAAAAATCACATTAACGAAGATAACGAAGATAACTCAATTTTATAGATAAAATAATAGTTGAACTTGCGATTTTTATTAAATATTAAATTTTTGTTCTTTTTTATAGACAATGAACTCATACAAAATACAAGCTACAGATGCGATTCAAATAGTATAATCAGCAGGCTTTACACGACATTATCATTAAGTTTTTTTCTAATCTTAATTTGTACAATAATACAGTATAACTAACAAAAATGTTTTCATTGTTTTTCAGAGTAAAAATGGTTAAATGAAAATTATTCTCAATTCCAGTTAGAAAGTTTTGAAGCTCTATACTGATTTTATTAAATCTCATTCATATATATTTTTTGCTGAAGTTTAAAAAAGAAAGATTCAACAATATGTACTGCTTGATAACTATTGTTTAATTTTCTTTTTAATTTCACTACATATTGTACGTATTAAAATTGATTTTTTTTTTAAAAAAAATTTCAACACATCTTTGTATCAGGAATTTCTAATAGAAAACTTCAATGATACCATTAATGTTGCCTCTCATTGATAAGACTGATCAATATTATCTACTTATCCAAAGTAAGGCATTCAGAGTTATGTATTTGGCAGTTACTATTGGACTAAGACATTGCCCCGAATTAGCAACAATTGAATTGGTTGTTTATCTGATAATTATATAAAGAAAATGATAAATGAGATTGCAGAATTCTGGACGCATTAATCCAGGGCAAATATTGTTCACATTATTCCTATTATTTTTTTATATACTAATGATCTTTACCTTAACCAGCTTTATCTGCCTGAGTCTTTTTTATTTTTCTGAATTATGAAACTATAAATTATATCCGAATCTTTTAAAACAGGGAGGTATTATAGTCAGTTGCATATGGTAGTATGGGTATAATTAGCATGGGAGATTTTAGAAAACTAGAATATGAGTTCACTATTAAAGGATTATGGTTCAACAGGAGGAACCGTCGATGTTGCACGACTGATCCTTCACCCGGTATGCAACATATAAAAAATTATTTTACAATACCAGATCATTCCGCTACTAGCGAAATGATCTGGTATTGTAAAATAATTTTTTTATATGTTGTACACTAGGTGAAAGATCAGTCGTGTATCCTCCTGTTTTATAGTTCATAATATTTCATAGCCGCAATAATAATTCCAAAAGTAGTACTTAGGGGATAATTATGATTGTTTGTAGTAGAATTTCGTGTTTGTAATTGTAATATTATAGTATATAGCACATAATACATTAAACAGCATTGTATCACACACGCTACAATGATATACCGGTTATAAATAATAGCATTAAAGCTTACTTGTAAAGATAATCTGTTATCTGGATAACCAAATATCCAGATATTCAGATTTTTTTATGATAATTTTATTATAAAATTGAATTAATGGATATCCGGATTGCATCACTACTTATTTGTGTTAGATTACTTGAACCATTAGTACATGTATTTGGTTTAATTGCTATTGTTCTAAAAGTTTTTTTGATATGTATTGTTGGATCTTACCAAATCATACTAAACCTTATCTGATCTCACTAGAACTCACTAGAACTCACTAGACCTCACTAGACCTTCCATTCAGTGATAAAAAAAATGCAACTAGAAGAGTCTAGTGACAACTAGCCACTAGAACCAAATTTTTTCCAGTTTCATCCAGTTAGTTCCAGTAAGCCTTCCAGTTCTAGTGATTGCTACTGGACTGGGTTTGCAACAACACTAGCTATATTATATAGATTATGTTACTTTTGCTACTTGGCAAAGTTTCAAACTTCACTTTAGCAAAGTTTGAATTTTGCCAATTTCACAAAAATGCAAATTAGCAAAAGTCATGTAACCCCACCACTAAAACAAACTTTAAAATCTCTGATTAACAGAGTTATTTATAATATACTAATTTCTGTTGCTATTTAAAATAATATAATATGCTTCATAAAATACTTTTGCTTATACAAGTATATTTCATAAAGTATATTATTTTTTCAAATATGACAGAGATTAGCATATTATAAATAGGAAGATTATAGCAAATTTAATATTATCTACAAAAAAATATAGCTGATATTATAAAAAAACTGAATATATATTATATAAATTGATTATATATATTAATTATAATGTAAACTATATTTTTTTGTAAATAATTAAAAGTTAAGAGTATTATAAGTTTGCATACTAATACAATATTAAAAACTATGGCTTTTTACCAAAATTATCATTTTAGCAGATTTTAAATAATATTTAAATGCCTTTATATTTTTTTTAGTACCACTTTTATAATATAATCTTTTCATTAGGATTACAATTTTTAGCAGATTTTAAATATTAATAAAATGCTTTTTCTTAATATTATCAATATCTATACTATGGATTACTTGAACCATATTTTCCAAAAAATATTTTACTGCAAAAAGAGACCTTACAAGCCAGCACTTGACATACTAGACAATAAGTCAGCACCTGTCATTTAGAAGTAGTTCTCATATACTACTTGCTGACAGGCTTAGAGTTTATTACTCACTGCACAGTCTTGGCACTTGTTGTTTAGAGGTAGTTTTTATATGCTACCTGCTGACAAGCCTAAAGTTTATCACTCACCGAAAAAATGTTAAGCAGGTATTGGGCGGGTAGGTTTTGACTATAGAAAAGAAAACTTATATTCTTTTAAATTAGTTTAAAGCTCAAGTGGTTTCTCTTTACCTCTTGTTGTTTTTCTGTCAGTCTTCAAAATTTTTTCATAAAAAGTAGGGATTTGGCTTACTCTTTCCAAAAGATCGATATTGTTTACTTACCAAATCCAGATGGACCGGTAGATAGCAACCACGTGTTTGGAGACGAATACGTTGCATGAGCCCTAGAACGAGTTCTGGTCAAAAAAGGAATTCCTAGTAGTGGCATCAAGTGGCTTGAGACACGAGTACCCGAGTAATAGCGCTTTTACAAAAATGTCGTGATTTTTGTCGTCGTTAGTGCCATATATAGAGAGTCAGATCTTAGTACAGCGGCAGCACTTGGTTTGAGATATGGACTAGGTTATTAAAAAGATTCAAAAACGGGTCAGAGAGAATTTTAATATTAAGTTTAGTTTTACAATAGAGATATACAAATGTTGTATCTGGTATATAATTTTTAAATCACCTGGCACAGATTATAATAATGTATCGAATTGCTTAAATTTTTTTTTTTTCTGCTTGTTTTATCTATTTTTATTTATATTAAAATCAGTTTAGGTTTCCTGTTCCTTTTTTCTTGTTGTTTCATTTTCTCTTTTAAGTTTTGTTTTCTTTTTTAGAACAATTTTTATTTTTTTTGATTATGAAAAAGCTTTTAGAAGTTTTCTTTAAATGTACCTTTCTTCATAATATTGGCATATATGTTAGTCTTATATAGAAGTAGGAGATAATATATATAATCTGCTGGAATTTAAGTGGATTGAGTTCAGGAAAATATTACCAAAATTTAAGGTAAGATAAGCTTAAAAGAAGGAATCGGCTTTTAAAAGAAGTCTTTCTTTTGTAAATTGGCATATATGTTTGTATTATGCAAAAGTAGAAGAAAATATATTCTGCCCAAACATTGGTGGAATAAGTCTAGAAGAAAGGTAAAATATAATCGGTTCAAATATAGATAGCTAAGTACCAAGCTATAGCAGGTTTTTAAATATGGGTATTATTATATATGAAGCTTGTTAGCAATATCAGTATAGTAACCATACTTAAACACTTTTATAGCAGCCGGGTATTTGCCTAATCCGTAAATTAGATAGTTAATTTATTGTAAATTGCTAAAATTCTAATAAATTAGTGCAAGGTTATATAGATTAAATGAAGCTATACTAGACAACAATCGGGTTCCCGATATGTCTCCTATTTTTAAACTATATGCATATGCATGTTTACCGGTAAATAAAACCCGATTAGTCTCTGATCGTAAACAGACCTTTGGCGCAAATACGAGACTTTTCGGGAAACGTCCATATTCAAATCGGTCTCCCGATTTGAATATTAAATAAACCCGAAAGCTGTATTATTTTTCTAAATATTTAAAGTAAACCGGGACCAAATACGAGACATTTTGGCAATCTTTAAGATACTTTCCATAGTCCAATCGGTAACCCGATTTGTATTCGGCTGCTGTATTGTTTTCCAGAATATTTAAAGTAAACCAGGACCAAATATGAGACTTTTTGGTAAATATTAAGATACTTTCCATAGTCATATCGGTAACTTGATTTGAATCTGGTTGATGTATTGTTTTTCTAAATATTTAAAGTAAACTGGGATCAAATATGAGACTTTTCGGTAAACATTAAGGTACCTACCAGATAATATTAGTATCCCGATTTGAATCCGGAAGTTATATTGTTTTTCTAAATATTTAAAGCAAACCGGGACCAAATATGAGACTTTTTGGTAAATGTTAAGATACTTTCCATAATCCTATTGGTAACCTGATTTGAATCTGGTTGATGTATTGTTTTCTAAATATTTAAAGTAAACCAGGAGCAAATACGAGACTTTTCGGTTAACATTAAGCTACCTACCAAATAATATCAGTATCCCGATTTGTATCCGGAAGTTATATTGTTTTTCTAAATGTTTAAAGTAAACCAGAACCAAATATGAGACTTTTTTGTAAACATTAAGATACTTTCCATAGTCATATCAGTAACCCAATTTGTATTTGAATTAAATCTGGTTGATGTATTATTTTAGAACTATTTGATAGTTTATAGTCATTCATCATTTATTATTTATATGTATATATTACATTTTATTAAAATTGTATATTGAATCAATTATTACAGTGATAATACATGTATCATATAATACATTTTGTTTATTTGCTAATACTAAAAGCTATATGCATGTCAAAAAAAGCTATGATTAAAATTTTAAAAGTTAACGTTGACTATTTAATAGAACATTCAAACTATTGAGATTGTTATGCTTTATATATAATAAAAAATTTAATAAAATAAATAAATAAAAAAATAAAATAACAATGAAATAATAATGAAAGAATACAAATATCATTACTTACCTAAAATTATTCACCAGAATTGACTTCAGAAGCTTCGTTGTTTCCTTGTATCGCCTCGAAATTATCATTTCGATTGTCATGTAATTCATTATAATTTTCTTCACTAGTATTACTACCACTACCACCATTACTTCTACCATTATTTCTGCCACTTACACCTTCATTATTGCTATTACTACTATTTGAAATTACTTCTTCTTCTTCTTCCGAACAGTAAGAAGTTAAAATAGTCCACTCAGGAGCATCGATTGGTGGTTTTGATTTATCAAACCATTTGTCGTTGTTGTATCACCGCTTCCTCGAACATTTAATATGTGAAGTTTTTTTACCCATTTCATCTGCCAACCGCAGAATCTTTCTAACCTATTATCAAATAAAATAAAAAAAGAAAAAATAGCGCCCAAAGCATCTATTAAGAAAAAAAAAAAAAAGAACTACAAAATGTTTACTTACTCTTTGTGATCTCCATGGCTTATCGTAGCAACATATTATATGATTATCTTTCTTGTCTTTTGGTCTTATTTTTAGACGTTTTTCTGACAATGTTCTCTCTTTATTTGTTTCTAAATATTCATCAGAATGAAAGTCTCCATCATTAAGTATTTCTTCAATGTCGATTTTAAAATTGGCAAAATCCATCGACGGAAGAAGTGCTTTAAGATTTTTATCATTGGTATTAACCATATGAGTCATACCATGAACTCTTCTTTTTTTTTTCTATAAATAATAAAATATAATTATAATAAATATCGGCATCCCGGTATTCCTATAAAAAAAAAAAAAAATTATACTTACATCTGATCGTCGACCGTTTATTCCTTTTCTTTTTTTATCAGACTTTGCCTTTTCCAGATCTTGCTCAATCTGCCATTTTTCATGGTGGCGGTGAAGGCTTTGAAGGACGTACTTAAATTCTGTAAGTTTAAATCGAAAACGACTCTTCATAGCCTTACTAATCGCTGACATAGTATTTTTTTGTATATGACGAACAATATCTATCCATTTTTTTGTTGGGTCGAGTTGAAGAGAATTATCAAGACCACTTAAAATTTGAATTACTTCATCCTATTAATAAAATAATTAATAATAATAATTAATTAAATTAGTAACAATAACGATAATTATAGCATTAATTAATATAAATTAGTAATAATAACGATCGATAATTAATATAAATTAGTAACAATAATGATAATTATAGCGATAATTAATATAAATTAGTAACAATAATGATAATTATAGTGATAATTAATATAAATTAGTAACGATAACAATAATTATAATGATAATCAAATAACTATAATTAATAACGATAATTAATAAATAACGATAATAATAATACTTATTTATATGAAAGAGCTTATATTGATCTACTGTCATCGCTTCTAGATATTCGTGAGATTTTTTTCCATATCCAGAAGGAGGTTTCAGAGTAACCGACGGCTTTCTTAGATCATTTGCAGGAATATCACATTTTTCCCTTAGCTTATCTTTTTGGTTACTAGGGTTGGTTATAGAAGTAGTAACAACAATGTTAGTATTATCACAAGGTGCGTCATGATTTTCATTTTCATCAAGGCCATCAAGGCCATCAAGACCCATATTATTCATTGGGCAAGAAAGCCCAGTTGAACCCATTACACCTATAGTATCACCGATATCAACATAATTTAATGAATCATCAGCATTATATGTCTTTGTTTTATCAGATTTTAGTTTGTTCACTTCATTAATCAAATCTTCAACGGTGTTTTTTAGGAAAGAGATTTCTATTAACATATAAATTTATTATTAGTCATATCAGTAAGTCAATAGTTCTGTTAAAAAATTTTTTTTCTAATTTTCATATAATTAATTACCTTTATCTTTTGAATCGGGGCTTCTTGACTGGCGATGAATTGGAGAAATTAACCTACAACTGCAACTTTCATCGTCTCAATTAATTTGACACGAAGTTGTTTGTGAACGATGAGGTGAAGTTAAACAACGGATTTCTATTAATATATAAATTTATTGCTAGTCATATAGGTAAGTCAATAGTTCTATTAAAAAAAATTTTTTTTATATAATTAATTAATTACCTTTATCAGGACTTCTTGACCGGCAACGAGTTGAAGAAATTGACATACGCTGCAACTTTCATTGTCTTGATTAATTTGACATGAAGTTGTTTGTGAACAACGAGGTAGAGTTAAATGACGATCTGGAGTTACCAAACGACAACGATAGTTTTGGCAAGTTAGAGTTACTGAATGACAATGATAGTTTTGTCGAAGTGGAGTTACTGAACGACAATGATAGTTTTGTCAAAGTGAAGTTACTAAACGACAATGATGGCTTTGGCAAGAAGTAAACTGTTGGGAAATAGACTGGCGAGAAACAGACTAGCGAGAAACAGACTGGCTAGAAGTAGACTGAGGATTTTGTATATAAGGTGTTGTTGATTGGAATGGAGTACCTCTTTGAGATGCTATAGATAATGGTGAAGCTGAACGTCAAGCTGAAACGGTATTAATTTTGTATTGAATTCTATTATGCATTTTTTAAAACCGATTTTTCAAAAAAACAAAAAATGATTAATGTGAGCGAAGTAGACAAGAAAAATGTTTTTCAAAAAAAATAAGGTATCTATTAAGCTATCGTATATAAGAAAAGAAGAAAACAAAAAAAGCGTTTTCCAAAAAAAAAAAAAAAGCGTTTCCATAAAAAAAAAGCGTTTCAAAAAAAAAAAGAAAGATATCTATTGAGTTATTGGGTTTAATTTGAAAATAAGAAAAGAAAAGTGTTTTCCAAAAAAAAAAAGAAAGGTATCTATTGAGTTATCAGGTAAAGGTGAAAAAGAAGAAAAGCGTTTTATTTATATAAGTTTACCTTACTCATAATCAATATATTAATTAGTCTATGTAAATGTAATGATGGATATAGTAAAAGTATTATGAGTGAAGAAATAAATGTTACTAAAAAAATAATGATGCGAAAAGTCAAATTTTTGCCATGCACACTCAGAATGTATGATCTATTTATAATTTTTTTGTAGTTAGTTCTTTACTTCCGAAAGTCAATTGATTATGTATATGACATATTTCAAAGTTTTATTGTATATTTTATCGGATATAAAATTTACAGTAAAAAATATGTTATTACATAATAAAGTGCGATCTGAAATTAAAATTTTATTGCAATCTGAAATTAAAATTCATATTATGCAATTTACAAATATTTGCATTAAAAAACATAGGCCTATCGGGAAACCGGTAACTTTATTTATAATTCAAATTATTAAAATAGCATATGTATAAATATTTTTATTTGGCATTTATATTTATCGGATTTTGCAGTTACCAACTGTTATCCAGTATTTGAATTTTATCATTTTTATGCATGTGAGTTAACCGTTATTTGCCATATGATTTGACTGGTCGAATTTTAAGCACCTTTGTGTTTAAATCAATATAGATACTATTTATTTATTTATTTATTTTGACATGTAAAAGAAGGTCTATCAGCACTAACGTTTTTTTACTGGAAGCCATATTGGTATACCAATAGCTTAATAGTTAATTCAAATCACTAAAAACGTGTTAAGATAAAAGTATTGATTATTGATTGAAAGCTGACGATATAAACAAAGAATATAATTATAAAAAAGAGTATAATTATCAATTTATTTATTTTTACATGCAAAAAGAAATATAGTAAAAGATTTATCAGTACTAACATTTTTTTACTGGAAGCTATATCGGTATACCAATACCTTAATAGTCAATTCAAATCACTAAAAATGTATTAAAATAAAAGTATTAATTATTGATAAAATATTTTTTGAAAGCTAATGATATAAACAAAAAATATAATTATAAAATAAAGAGTATAATTATCAAAGCAAGACAAGAGCTATACAGAAAGTATAATATAAAGAGTATAATTTTAATCGAAAAAAAGTCTATTAATTGGGAGTCCACGAGTAAGCCAGAGAGTATTATAGTAAAATGTAACTCAGATTACTATATAAATTTACTATAGTCAAATGTGGCCTGCACGAATCTAAAACTTTTTTTTATACTAAGTTAATTACCCTTCTAACTTAAGAGACTTTTGTAAAGCTTGTTAAAACGCATCTAATGGTAGTTAGAACGTCAAAATCAGCCCAGTGGATGCTGAGATATCTTTAAAAAATCTTTCTTTTACTATGTGAATTTCTTTGCAAAAGAGAGCATTTTTGCAAAGAAATTTACATAGTAAAAAAAGGGTTTTTAAAGATATCTCAGCACCCACAGGCTGATTTTGACATTTTAACTACCATTAGATGCGTTTTGACAAGCTTTACAAAAGTCTCTTAAGTTAGAAGAGTGATTAACTTAGTACAAAAAAAAGTTTTAGATTTGTGCAGGCCACATTCGCACTATAGTAAATTTATATAGTAATCTGAGTCATATCACTTTCTGGCTTACTTGTGAACTCCCAATTAATGAAAATAAACCTTTTAAATAGAAGAACACTTTTAGTAATGTCAATAGACATTTATGCATAAGAAAAAAAAAGATATATAAAAAAGAAATAACTTCATCAGGAAAAATTTTTTAGTGCTGTTCTGTGCAGATTTGCAAAAAAAAAATAATAAATTAAATGAAATCTGCACAAAACTCCAGACTCACCAGCTATAGCTATAGAAATTAAATATCAGTTCTGTGCAAAATTTCAAAATATAAAAAATTTTGCAAAATTTTGCAAAAATCTGCATTTTAGCAGGTTTATGCAGATTTGCACTTATTTAATTCTTCTGATCTTAATTGAGCGATACGTAGATAATGTTATAAAAAAATCAAACTTTTTTTTGAACAAAGAATATGAAAACAACAAAGTTTGTTACGTATTACAAAAAAAAATTTTTCATATGACGATTTTACTTATAAGTACTTCTACTTCAAAAAATTACAATTAACTGTATAAAAAATCCCAATCATATTTTATTCTAATTTTAGCCAATCAAAACAAACTTTATGCTCAAAAAATGTACAGTACTTCTGTACTTATCTTTATATAGTTGATGATCCATGTAACTGGCAGAAATTATAATAAATTTAGAATTATAAAGGCCAAATTTATTACAGTAATTTTATCAGCGATATATTATATGATTAGTTTAAACTATGTCTTTGTTATACTGAAATCTCTTTTGAGCTTGTTTTACTAATATGATTAATGATTCAACTTTTACAAATTTATCTTCAAACATGTTAGACCAATCATTTCAAACTGATACGTCTTCAAATAAACAAAGAAACCACTAAACTGAAAAAAATGCAGCAAGAGAAAAAATTGGGGATCATTATATAAAAAGTACAGTAATAATAGTAGTGTAACTTGCCATTATTGTTCAAAATATTGGTGCAATACATGTCCTGCAGAAATGGAAACTCATCTTGTAAAAATTTTGTCCTGGAGCTCCTAAAGATATAAAAGAATATTGGTATGAGTTAATTTAGGATAAGATAATAAATTACAAGTGAGAAAAAGCTCTTAAATCAATTAAACCACCACATGAGCAAAGCGAATTTACAAAGTTGTTTTTAAAAGTTTGTATTATGACTGGTACACCATTTCATTTGGTAATACTACCAATATTTAAATAAGCAAAAAAATACAAAATTATATTTTTGCTTTTATAATAACCAAATTATTTAATCATGTTTACATCGCTATTTGTAATATGCTACTCTTTCTTTTTTAATGGAAAAGAAAGGGTTTTAAATTTTCTATATGCATATCTGAATGCATAATCCTGCACATACTCCAAAAATTTTTATTAAATTCAAGTTGAACTATCTGCTTTCAATTCCATAATTAGATGATACATTCTTATGAGAATTTTTTTCATCGTTTTTGCTAAAATATAAAGCTAAAATTTATAGTAAAATACAGTATATATCTATGGATGAAACTATTTTTGTAAATGAGGAGAAACTGACAAAACTCATAAAAAAGGCAAAACTCCTAATAAAATCTCTGCAAGAGGTAAAGTTCCTTGGTGAAAGAATAAAGATCAATAAATAACAAAATATAAAGAGGTTTGATTTATTTAGATCAATTTAGAAGTATAATATTTTATAATTCTATATATATTTTATAAAAAGTATTCATAGTAAACTAGTTTATATAAAATGTAAAATAATATGCTAAATTTATTATTATAAGAATCTTATTGTATTTTATTATCTATTTAATATATAAAAATAATTTAATTATTGCAAATTATAATTATTATAAATTAAAATAAATTATTACTTATATACATACCAGAACATTCAACACTATCAGAAATATGAAGATCCATTAAAGAAGAATCTAACAAATTATATAATATTATTAGTGAATTTAACAAAAAAACATTTTTGACAAACGTTTATTCAAATAATACCTTGAATTGCACTTGATATTTTTTGGGTGTTAATAATTTTACTAGTGTACATATGATTCGGATGAGTTTGAGGGATTATTGGCAATGCTTTAATAATTTCATCAGCACTTAAGAACTGTTTTTTGATTTCGCTTTCATTATCCGAAGCTAACTCGTCAAGCCATTCACCAATTTCATTACGAATATCAAAAGCTCTAGGCCGCTTTTGTGGATCAGAATCCATGCACAGATTTGCCAGTTCAATATAACAATCAGGAGTTCCAGGAGCAAACTTTGGTCGCAATCCATTGCAAATTTCGACTGCAAGTTCCATATCAAATTTACAACCATCAAAAGGTCTTTGACCAGTTGTTATTTCAGCCATAATAACGCCAAATCCATAGATATCTGCTTCTTGAGTAAACTGTTGTTTTCCTGATAAAACTTCCGGTGCAACATAAGGCATGACCCCAAAGATAGCACCTTTTGCACTATTTTCATCTGCCTTTTTAGATAATCCTAAATCTGAAACATAAGATGCGCCTTTACTATGAAGAATGTTACCACCATGAAAGTCTGCATGAATATACCCAGCATCATGAATATTGTCTAGGTCTTGGGATATGTGTCTGAGTTGTTTTAATTTAAATTCCCATGTAAGGCTATTTAAACTTGATTGTAAAAATTTGCAAATATTTCCATCATCAGCATACTGAAATACCATGAAGCATTCATTATTTTTTGAGTTATATGTTAAACCATATATTTGGAGTTTACTGCCGAATAATTTACATTTCACGTGATTT